TATCACAAGATGATGGGGGGAAGCTACTCACAACTTATTTGTACTTGGCAGAGTTACAGTGAGCAAGCAAAGAAGTGCTCATAGAGACAATTTGCAAAGGACCATCAACTTGTGTCCTGTTCCCATCATTGTCATTCTTTCATTATCAACAAAGTTTATGGCTTGACGAAATGGAATTAATGTTATTATCCAATTATTATATTATTATCCATAGAATTCTTCTATGATTTTGAAAATAATATTTTGGAAGGAACTAATTGCTAAGCAAGAAGTTCATTGAAATATGAAACAAATGATCCAAATATCTGTGGATTTAAATTTCTGCATGGGTATTGCAAAAAGTGGCATAGAATGGTGTCTGACATGCTCTAATCTCACAAGTGGGAGGAGGAAAGTCATCATGAGCCCAACGCGTGTTCCTCTGAGGTAGAAGGAGTATTACCTGCCTCTGCCCTCCAAACGGTTCACCGATTCTGACACCAAACATCTCACAGGGCACACTTGACTTCCCGGCTGGGTTTGACAACTCACTGCAAAACTTATAGACATTAATAATAATTATGGGGTTTTGAAGGGAAGAAAAGACTGCAGTTCAGCCGTTCAAGATAAGAACACTCAGGCTACAGTTCTTCAATCAGAATACATTTCTTTCTTTCATGCTTACAGGCATTTCCTGTTCCACCCCTTAGCTTTTCTACGCCCTCGAGTCCCTTAGCCTCTGCCCTACTTGGACAAGTGCTATAAAGCTCGTTTAATTCTGCTAACGAGTGCTCAAGGGCTCCCCCTCTACCAGTAAGCCGCTACCTGAAGGCACTCAGCTCTCATACTTTGGGAAACCCACGCTCTGTCTCCTGCCAGTCTTGTGGTTTTGATGTCTCTTTATTGAGAATTCTCTGCCACTACTTTTCCTCTTTTCTGTTGTCACATTTCTGGTCGTCTGTCTCTGTTTTTGGAATCAAGAAAGTTCCCAGAACAAGGATCTCAGGTTCCCCCTGCCCCTTTTTTCTTGATGGTAGTGATATTACCCGTCTCTGCCTCTGGGATGACTCATTGTAAGCCTAGCCCGTTAAAGACTAATTCCTACATTAGGCTCTATACAGCCTATTTGCATGTTCCCATTCTGCAAGGGTGTCGTGTCCCTTATTATTAGCAAACTATCAGTAGGCCATAATCACCTCACGTTTTCATAACACTTTTCAGTCACTTGGTGGGAGCTACAAAGTAGGCCCGTAACAAGCAATTCACTACACCACAGATGTTTTGTCTGTTTCACTGGGAAACAACAAATTTCAATTGATGAGGTATATAGTAAACCAAACATGTTCATTTTTATGCTAATATATATAGGAAAGCATTGGACTGCTAATCACACAGTTGTCAGATCTAATCTACCAGCCACCACTGAGGATATAGATCTGCTTCTATAAATATTGACCACTTCAGAAATCCTATGTAGGGTTGCTGAGAGTCATAATTGATTCAATGGTGGTGGGTTTATTGGGAAAGAAGGGGGGCGCGGATAATCTCTGGCAATGCAAATGGTTCAGAGGCACTTGGCTACTAAAAGCTTGGTGGTTTAAATTCATCCAGAGGTGATCAGAAGAAAGGTCTGACAATTTCAACAAGCATGGAAAATCCTTTGGAGCACTGTCCTACTCGGATCGGGGCTTGTCATACTTTGGAATCTACTCAAGTCAAATTGTATAAGACCATATAAGAACCTAGCTGGTTGGAAATTTCAAATTGCTAGTTTCCTCTGTGTATGAAACTTGTTCTCCATGTGCTAAATACACCGGCTGAAAAAGAAAGCAGTGCCAGTTCCTTTTGTGTTTATAAATATTGAAGCCAGGAGGTCTGCATTTTTCTTTGAGTTGGTCTACATTCAATGACTCACTCTGTGTGTGTATACACATGTATACATGTGTATACACACACACACACACTTATCCTTTAGTTGCTATTTCTTAATCAACGTTTTCTAATCATTAGCATTTCTTTTTATAGCTACAAATTGATGAACTTTTTATTACTAAGATAACTAAAGTTCTTAGCCACCAAAAAATAATTTGTCTGAGTTTTAATTATCAAAGTAAAACACAGAAACGAGAAACTAATAATTTAATATTAGCACATGCTAGAAAAACATCCCAAAGGGAATGATGTCTAGTAATACATCCTAAACTTTAGATTTTTTTAGAACTTAGAGAAGCCAAGAGTTAAGGGGACGTCTCAGCTTTACAAACCCATAATTGGTAGTGTTTTATGGATGGCTGGATCTATTTCAACTGTGCATGCATGGTTCTTTCCATGTTTTCATTCAGTGCGCAATATATTTCCCTTTTCCACTTTGTGTGAAGAATTAGGACAGAAAATGCCCATAATTCGATACTTCACAGAAGTATGGAATGCATTCATCAGCTGAGAACACCCTCAACTTAAATTCTTTGTCCTCATTTGGCCTGCACTGTGGCCAATTTATAAACATGGATATTTAAATATAATGCTTCTTTAAAGAAGATATGAGCCCCAGATGAAAGTCAAGTTCATGGCGGTGCAGAAGAGAGGCTTAGTTTTATTACTTGTTCATTATCTTCCTTTGGTGAAGTCATTTAATTGCCTGTTGGGCCTTTCTATAAAAAGAGAATTACATTTACTGGTCCTGTAAAAGAATGCTAGTAATGTTAATTTAGTCTAAAACTTGCATTCAGGATGATGCAGCCCATGTCTAACTGAGTGAGGTCATAATATCAATTGGCTGAGTATTATTTGTGGTTTTGGGCCAGCCTCATCCTACCGATCCAGGGGTGCTACAATGATTGCAGTGTTGCAAGTTTTAGCCCAGAGTTTCTCTTGATCCTTTTGGTCCCTGGGTTTGTTTACCTTTTTTTTTTTGGTCATTGAATCTGCATTAATATTTTTGCAGCTTACATATTTTTGTTTTGTTGAAATATGGCTGCACTAAGCATAAATGAGTATACTCCTTATTGGAGAACATGATTGAAAGTAAGCATCCATTGCCACCTTCTGTGAAGCGTATGTGATCCACTGTGTCCGGAAGCCTTGTTTCTGGAGCCCGCTCGCCTCTGGGCCTGCGGAGACGCTGTTGATGAGACTCGTTCATTTATGCTTTCCTTTGACTCCGATTCTCTTCCCTCGGGAGAAATCAAGACTTGAGTAGGAGCTCCATGTGGGGCGAGGGGGAAAAAAAGGAAGTGCTTTGGCAAAGTGCTTTGTTTCTGAAAGGAGAAATACTTAATATGAAATGGGTTGAATGGACAAAAATGCTTGTATGTGCTAAAGACTGTATGCAGCAGTTTTGCACATGTGTTTTCATACTCTGGCCCTAGTAGTAACTGAGTTTGAGTGCCAAGCTTTGGCAGTTCTCCACTTATCCTGGAATTTTGTCTCGGGACCCCTCCCCTTACCACCTCAGGAGCCTTGTCTGGCTCTCTCTCCAGAATTGCTGATTCTTTCCAGGCCATCCTTCTCATGGAGCGCATTACTGCTTTCTGCCGACTGCTGATCTACTCCGACTCTTGCGTCTCATCTCATCACTTTAGTACAATTGCAGCCAAATGTAATAGAATAATCCATTCAGTCAACAATTGTTTATTTTATATCTATTGTTTGGCAACTTTCGGAGAGGTCTGAAGTTGAAGCAATAACCACAAAAGGTCCAATTTCCTTTTTGAAAAAGAAGCAGATAATAAATACACAAGCAACTAATACATCTTGTTAGGTGAACAAGTACTATAAAGAAAACGAAATCAGAATCAGGAAATAGATATAAGAGCAGAGATGGAGAGAGGGCGCTATCGTTTGATGTTTCGTCGTCTCTAAAGAGCAAACTTTGGGACTGTGCACTGAATGGAAACCGTTGGCTGGGAGAAGGAATCCTGAAAGGGCTCACACACTGCCGTGGAGTCAGTGAGCCCGGGTGGCCTAGTGGTGAAGCTTTGGGCTGTCTTTCCAAAGGTCAGCAGCTCAAAACTACCATGCCACAAGAGAAAGATGCAGTTTCTACTTCCATTAAGGGTTCGAGTCTCAGAAGCTGGATGG